CAACAAAACTCCTCGTAATATCAAAGAAGAAGGCAAGGATTATGGCAATATTCACCAACTTAAAAAAGAAGACTACCCAAAAGAGTTGCAGGAGTTCCAAAATCATCTGGAGGCGGTGATTGAAGCTAATGCGGGGGGGGGTTATTGAATAAATTTGCTCTACTATTTCAATTTTTGGTAAATATATCTTCTTGCCTTAAATATATCTTCCAATATTACATTGATCAAGCGATTTGGGGTGAAATACTCTCTTTCATCATTGTTGATATATATATATATATATATATATATATATATATATATATATATATATATATATATATATTTATTTATAGCTATTTCTGTAGTGATTTTATAACATGTTTATGTTATAAATTTTCTAAATAAATAATTATATCTGCTCTACTTTGTATTGGAGCACTCTTTTTTAAGAATAGTAATTGTTGGTTATTGGAATTCATTCCGTATACACCAATTATATACTTGGGTATATATATATATATATATATATATAGGGGGATGAAAAGAGGGAGGGAGAAAATGTGGAGAGAATGATCAAAAAATGACTGTTAAACCTGTTGGGGAATTTCTTCTGGTGACTGTTAACAACATAAATGATACACTGGTACCTCTCGACTTGTAAACAATTAACAATGGTTGGAATTACTCGGGACATAACACACAATTTCGGCAAGTACCTTTATATGTTTCCACTTGACATCAAACAACTTATTCGACACCAGGAAAAGTTCATCAAAACACTTAACAGGTATTCTCGGTTCGTACTATTCAATAGAACAGGCTTAAATGATATATATATTCAAAAGATACATATGCATTATATCAATTTTAATTCGGCAGCTGCGACCATGTAAGCGACACAAAAGAACCTTTCATTTCCTTCGTTTCTCTTCTACAGACTTTACTATATGCGTAGCAGATGAAAGAATTTTTGTTTTGACTTCGAGTTTATCTAAAGGACTAGATAAACTCGAAGGCCATACAATGCACTTTCACGTAATTCTCCTAACCTGCGGCTGGCCCGCCTACTTTGTCATATAACATATAGATTTCCTGTAAGTTTTTGTTGTCAACTTATTCTTCTTGGGATTACTTACTGTCATGAGATCTTAGATGACAAGCAAATCCCGCTTTGATTAAAAACACCCAACCTCAGATTTTGCATTATTCCCAAACTGAAGATTATCTAGGATTTTAGGTTATGTCCTGCTTCCTAGAACTCGTTTCAAGATTGCTTGATCGACCCTCCTTCACAGGAAGGATTTACAACCATCGCTTACCATTTTCTTCCACATTAATCGATTTTCTGTCTAAGTTTCCCGGTCCTCAGCATCAATGCTATGAGTTCTAAGATTGTTTTAAACAACATCCTTAAAACATTTTTTTCCGTTTTGGTTTGTATTTCGGATTATCCAAGTTACTTCCCCGTGAAATATCTACTTAGGTAATCTGTCATATGCAGAAGAATTAACAACAACAGCATATGAGTAGAAAGCCAAAATCATAATGGGAAAAATTAAGAGAAAAGAAGGAAAAGAGAGAAAGGAAGAAAAAGGAGTGGGTGTAAAGTGAAAAAAAAAAACGACGAAAAGGACAAATAATCACGACATTCTAAACGTAAGCACATACGCACTGTCGGGTGCGTGGCCGCACACACGTGGCCGCGCACACACGTGAACAGTGCATATAAAAAAAAATTCTGATGTATAAGCAGTGAACCCCTTTTACCCCCTGACGATATTCAGTCACCCCCCCTCACGAGGGTGTCATGTGGCCAAAGCCCTTTTAACGTGGAGCAATTCGAGCCATTAGGCTCGTATCAACCATTTGAACCCGCATAAACAGGTTTTGGGGTAAGTTTACCTCCCGAAGGAGACTCCGCCCTTCGACGTAGCCTCCTTCGGGTTCCTCCTGCCTGTAGGAAGAGAGTTCAAACCCAGCAGTCTGTTCAAAAGTGAACGACTGACTGATCACCCCTGCCCCCCCTGACAGGAACGGGTGTTCCGTTGTGGTCCGTCTACGAAACTCTGAATATGAACAGCTAAATCAGATAAGTGACAAACATTTGCTTGTATTAATTCGAACTCTCTCTCTCTCTCTCTCTCTCTCTCTCCTCTCTCTCTCTATATATATATTAAATGTAAAAAGAACGAAGAATAAAATTAAATCGTTCAAAAAACATTAATTTAAAACAGGGCTCAATACAAGAGTAGAGCAATAAATATTTATTATAAATATTACATTAGAGATACGTATGTTACATGTTCCTAATGTAACAGTCTTCTAATTATATATATATATATATATATATATATATATATATATATATGATGCAGGTAAATTGTTCAGAAGGCACAGATACTACACTGGTCCTGTATTTACATTCGTCCTTGACATTTGTAAAATGTGATACATTGTTACTTTACATAGGATGACCATACTCACGCATATGAACCATGGACAACAAATTGCCCTTACCCATGATTACTACCACTTTGATGCAATGGGGGAGGTACTATCGCTAGGTTGAAATCTACGGAACTAGGCTCCCCTCACTGCTAAGCCATGATCTACACGAAATCAGAGACATGGCTGAAGAGGACTTATTTTAAACTGATGCTAGTCAGAGGCACCTGAGAGCGTCACAGATGATCAAAACCTCGACAGAAGTATTGGGATATATGTAAATAATCCTATTAGTTTAATTTTAAAGACGTGGCGTCTTATACAACGAAAATATGGTATTTACACTATTTACATTGCTCGGACTGTTGTCCTCATCTTCATCACATTCACGACGTTTCGGCAGTTGTACGCTCCGACCTTCTTCAGATGATATTTGTTGGAATTTCGAACCGAACTCTTTATTTAGTGCGCAGGGGTAGATTGTTCTAATTCCATGTACATGCCGTTGGATATCTCAGTTTTAATTGATTTAGCTTGATAACTCTCCAAATTTTTGCTCTCTCCGCTGAGGCCAAGGATTGAACTCACAACTCTTTGGATCAAGTCACTTTTTGGATCAATCAACCAACCCTTTTACTCTGTGAATAAAAGTAAAGATGAGGACATCAGTCCAAACAATAGTGTAAATAGTTACAATACCTCATCTTAGAAATATAGACAGATGTTGAAAATATGGTATGTGACGTCACCCCGGGGTCGCTGCGCCAAATGTGACATCTACCTGGCCGCGCCCGCCGTGCTGTCCTGGTCGCGGTGCCAATTGTGACGTCACCCCGTCTGTCTCCGCGCCGTCGCCGTCCTATCCTGTCCTGTGACGACCAATGTGACTTGGTATTGGTCGCGGCACCAACTGTGACGTTCTAACCTTTTGCTGATTCGGATGGGAATCTGGTTAATTCAGTATCAGCCTTGTCGTTCACAGCTCGCCTCAACGTCTGATTACCGAAGTAACTGTTTTTGATTTCTAGTCTAACCTACCCACGTTGTGATTTGATCTTAGGTAGACGAAATCAATCCAGTCGCCGGGCCGTAATACCAGTCGGGTCCGAACAAGTGTAATACCGCACAAATATATGTAAAATAAAGTAATAACTCGAAAAGTTCAAATGTGTTAAAAGGAATAACAATATTTTATATCTGGTTGCTGAATACAGGATTGCGTCTTCCTCCCAACCCGCTTATGAATACATGACGCTTTGCGTTTGTTAGGCGAGTCTTAACATCTTAAGTTGTTTTTTCTTTAAAAACTGGTTCTTGGTTTATCTTCAGGCGATATTCGTAAAACTTGTTTTTGGTGGTGTGAAGTCTAAGTCGTTCTTCAAAATAAATTGTTCTTGGTTAGAAGTTGAGGTCGAGAATGCGTGGTCTTAAGTCAGCTTTCTGCGAGGCGGGTCTTCAGAGCTCTCAGCTCAACTCCAACTGCGAACTACGAACTCAACTGCCAACTGCCGTCCACTCGCTGCGACCAAAACCGGGGTGGGCCTGTCGGGGTTTGAGGTTCCTTGATAATTCTAAATCCGCATTAAGGGTTTTCTTTGTTTTCGGTCCGGAAAATCCACCACTTTCCATTTTTGGAAATCTTAATTCTAATTTAAGGGAATCGTCCTCCCAAATTCTTCCTTACTTATATTGGTATCTCATACCAATTCCTTCAGGGGCGTCAATAGGTTTCCCCTCTCTCTCACGGTGGCATCTCACACCGATCCCTTCAGGGAGCGTCAACAGGCCTCCCCTCCTTCTTCACATGATTACCTTCGCCTACCGCTCACGCCACCATTCAGTCAATGGACGCTCAGCGGCATGGGTATTTGCTAATTATCGCTCAAAGAAAAAAAAATATTATCTTCTTTCCTTTTCTTTTTCTTTTCTTTCTCTCTCTTCTTCCCGACAACAAACCCTAATAACCGAACGTCACCTGAAGTTTGTCAATCAGATTTTCGCCAGCATCAAGTGGGTGGTCATCTGGCGACTTTGCATTCTGTCGCTAATTAACTGTTTCGATAAAATAGTTTGTTTTTTTTTTATCATGGCCAGCTCCTGACATAAAACAGGTGCCTTTTCCAAACGACATCTCCGCAGATAGCTAATGGCACAGTCTTTCTTCCTTTGTAACTTGGGTGGTCCAACGGACATTTTGTTTTTCGGTCAGTGCATGACCTAATTAATTTTTATCTCTTAGCATTCTGTCCCGTAGGCCACTCGGCCAATTTGAAACTTTCCTTATTGCCATGGGCAGATGGCTATATCTTATTCGCCGCCCCGTAACATAAATCAAATGCGACAGATCCGCGACCTTACTTTCTTCGCTAATGAAAATAAAATCTTTACCACTTTTCCTTGTTAGAAAAAAAATAACATCGTCTTTTCGTGATAGATTCTTATCACCTAATTTAATTCTCGCCTTTTTTTTCTTTTCTTTTTTTTTTCACGCAACCCTAAATAGTGAGTAATTTAGTCTGTAATTTGAACTTGAAATAATTTACTAATTCCTACCGTAAGAAGACACGGGAGACATGCGTTGGACGCACGTCGATCGAGGCTGCGCGGCGGACGTTCGTTTCAAAGAAGGTGGTTTCTTGCTCCGAGTTTATTCACGACAGTATTCAGGGAGAAGGTGAACGTCATTTCCGTCGGCCTTACTTCTTTTATTTTATTTTCTGCTTCCATGCATGCTAATGTCTTATTCCCCATCTTCTCCTTCATTTCAGCTTGTATGCTTTCCCTTCGATTTTTCGTTTGTCGCTGCAACCGGCGACCCTTAGCTGGGCCGAGCGAGGTTTTTGATTAAGGCGGTGCGTCTGTCAAACTGCAATGCAAGTGTCCCAACACAAGCTCAGCGAAGACATAAACCTTGCATAGTGCAAAAGGGCTATAACTCGCTCGATCCCGATTTTCAGTACGAAAAACGAATACCGGTCTCGAAAATCGATTCCTTCCTCGGGAGATATCAGAAAAATTACCATAGTGGTAACTGATTTGTTGTGACCAAGCTTCCGTAGCAATGTCACTTTTTGACCCTTTCATGTTGGCTCCTCCTGGCATTGCGAAGCAGAATTCGTCAATTGCTGCATTGTTTACCCACTAACTGGAAATATGAACTGATTTTAGACCGTCGCGCGTCAGGTTAGTTTTATCCTACTGATCGATACGTGTGTTACGTCGACCGGTGCCACGGTTACCCCGTCCAATGCGAGAGGAACCGCGCTATCGGGACAACAGTTTGCGTGTTCGCTTGAACGAGCAACTGTGCTAGACTGCATCCCTATAATAATGGTTCTACACCGTGTCTGCAACTTGTGCTATTGAGGTATTACAAACGGAATCTTTTTTTCGTTTCTCTGGAGCTTGGCATAGCGTTCGTCGTCAGGAGTGGGCAGTGGTTGTGGAGTCGGCGACACTCGTCCTTGCGGCTTCTTCGGCTTTTATCGCTTCGAACGCGGTGTTGTCCAAGAACGTACCATCTGACTTGGTTGTCGCGGATGACAGTCGGGATTTTGTCGTCGTCTTGTTTCGAAGCCCCGCAGAGCGTGAGACGAGTGATCGCTTGGAGATCGCTTAACTTCAGACTCGGGATGTTGTACTTAAGGAACTAAAGTGCCGCCTAAAATTTTAAATGCAACGCCAATCGCCATCTTCTGTCTTCCTAAATCCATTCTTTTATTGTCCTTTCTCCTCACTTCTCATTCTCTTTAACTTCATTTAAACCCCACTGCATTTAAGTGGTTTTATCGCATTGCTTGAAGTAAAATGATTAAAGAAAAAAAGATATCACACTGCGTTCTATTGAGACTAAGCTCGCGTCTGATTCGTTCTTCTTTAGGGAAGACTATTCCGACTTGGACGGAGTATTTTCTTTCAAAACATCCATCCCATCACGTGGTGGAACTCAAAACTAGATTTTCGCAGTTTGTGATTCCAGTAATGGGCATAAATCGTAGCAGAATTAGATCAAAAACGGTGTAACTTTTTCAAAACATTGGAACAAATACTATTTTTATGAGCAACACGAGCAATACAAATGCAGAAATATCTAGGTTTTATAAAGTACACAAAAGCATTTGATAAGATACAACACAAATAATTACTTAGAAACTCTTGATTTACATATCGAAAGATATTCGAGCAATCCATAACCTCTACTGGGAACAAACAGCCAGTATCCGGATAAGGAACGTGTTCAGTGAATATAGACAAATAGAAAGTGGAGTATGAAAAGTATGCATGCTTTCACCGAAGTTATTTAACTTATTTACTGAGACGATCCTATGAGAACTAGAAGGCCTACTCGGAGTTATTATCTGTGGACTTAATCTTAAAAAAAATAAAATATGCTGATGATCTTGTGGTGATGGCAGACTGAAAGTAATCCGAGATAAGGTAATAAAGAAAAGTAAGAAGAAACTGTCAGAAAACAGAATGGATGGTTGTCAGCAAAAGGGCCATGCTCAAAATGTGAATTACATGTCGGAGACGTCCAAAATAAGCAAGTACCGAAATTCAACTATTTGCGTAGTGTAATTACAAATAAAGGAAATGTGACACAGAAATGCGAATACGCATGGTAATAGCGAAAGATGCTTTCTAGAAACTAAGCAAAGTTTGAAAAGATGGGAAAATTTTGTGTATTTTATTGAACTTTTAACAATTAACTTCACAAATTGGATCTTGCCTTTTGAAAAGTGTTTGGTTAATCATACTCTTCAAAATTCAACTGTGATAAAAAAAAATAAATGTTGATACATCTCAGATGTCAGCCCCCTATACCAACCATTGAGCCACATCTCGAAGTGGACAGGTTAGGCGAGTCATTTCGTCAGTTTATTGTCTTCGATTTTTCCGGCAACAGAGAAATCGATTGAATATCGAACTCTGGTCGAAGTATTCCTCTGCCTGTCTTAAACATGTCATTATCACGCACAACGTCAAAATAAACGAAGCCTGTAGCCATTAGAATCGAATATTACAATGAACAATAGCCGAGAATTGTTTCTATGTTAGTTTTCCTGAAAAATTCTATGAGATTTGACTGTTACCGCTTGTGTGTTGGCTTGATTGTTATTTCTTTTGGAAACTCTGAATTCAATGCAATTATAATATGTCAGGGTAAGTTGGACAGCCCGCCAGTTATAAATGCTTAAGGGTCGAGCTTTGACTCAAGTAATACGCAGTGAAATAGTCAAAAACTCTTATTAAATTATTAGTTTCTTTTTAAATATTTAAAAAAGACTTTTTGAAATTTTGTAAAGTTACAGACGTAAAATATATTAAGCACGTCATCCTACTTCTCAAGTAGTTTTCGACAAATAGAAAAATATTTTTTCATTGCACCGATGGTAATAAAAGTTTATAAAGTGTTTTGCCTGTTTGATTTACCGTACTTATGGTGATTTTCTAAGCACAGCTTAGATGTGGCACAAGGCCGAATGTATGGGGTACACAGTCAGGATCGAGCTCACCACTCAGTCGTAATTAGTTCTAGCGAGGCAAGCTTGCTAACCGTTACACCGCGTCGAAGTGCTCCAAAAATATTATTCTAAGATGTGGCACAAGGTCGAACTAAGTATTTAGTTGTAATTGTCTTAGCTAGACAAGCTTGTTAACCATTACATGACGAGGTGATTTTCTAAGCGTTGCTTAGATGCGGCACACGTATTGGACACCCAGGGAGGATTGAACTCACTATTCAATCGTAACTAATCTAACGAGACAAGCTTGTTAATCATTACACCACATCGTGATGCCCGATTTACCGTATTTATGGATGCATGTCTCGCTGTTTTATACGAGGTTGGGCTGAAAAGTTCATAATCTGACTATGAAGAAGTGATGCTAGAGCTGTGAAATCTTACATGCATTAATTTCAACTCTTCTTATTAATAACTGCATTGTTTCTTCTCAAGTAAATTGACATCTAACTGTTCAAAGAAAACTTCAAAAGAAACTAGCAACGAATTCTCTTGAAAATGGACAAAATTAGGCATCGTGGTGTTATCAAGTACATAGAGAAAAAGAGTTTAACTCCCAAAGACATTTATGCTGACATGGTTGCTACATACGTTTATGATGCTCCAGCTTTATCAACAGTGCAAAAGTGGGTAGCTGAATTTAGGAGGAAAAGTGAGAGTCTGGACGTTCTGTAACTGCCACCACCAAGGAAAACATTTGATCATGTTCACCACATGGTGATGAATGACAGGAGATTAACTATAAGAATTTCCTTCCTAACTTATTGTTTAAAGTAATGTGAAAAGCAAACATCTTGATTATATTATTATTTTCCCTTCTAGTCACATGTGCTATTCATTTTAGCTGTTGCGACTGTTGGAACCTTTCAACTGATGTGTTTTTGGTTTTTTGGGGGTTTTTTTTTTTATTTGGTAAAGTTTAGTCGATCGTAAACAGGGTCGCTATGACTGAACAACAGATTCTTTGTTATATTCCATTGAATTTTATTGAACACTATTGCCATTGGATTCTTTTTAAAAGCAGTTCATGATACAAAATGATGTGGTAACAACATTATCAATCTTATTATTAATTACACATATTTTGATTTGTATCTGCAATACGAGTTATTGTAACAATTATTCTGAGTCACATTATATAATATAATGTTATAGTAGAACACACCTATTCTACAGTTAATAGACTCTCCCACCTATAATAATTAGGAGTAGTAGGAGTCGCGGAGTCGCTCAGCGAGTTGGTCCGAGTTCAGTCTGAAGTCGGACGACCAGCTGACCGGTTGAACTCTCTGCCTTCAGGCGGGGAGGAACCCGAACGAGGCTACATCGAAGGGCGGAGTCTCTTTCGGGGAGGTAAACCGACCCTGAACCCGTTTATACGGGTTCAATGGGCATATTTTTCGCCGAGCCCACGGGCTCAGAGATCCCACGTTAAACCGGCCTTGTGCCACATGATGCCCTCGTGGGGAGGTGACTAAATACTCTCAGTGAGTTGGTCAGTCAGTCGATGTCGGACGACCGTTAGACGGATACTAAAGTATCAGCGACCACCACTAGATTTCTCTGCGTCATTACCTATTATATCAAGTTCCTAACGTTTTGTACGTCGAACCTATTTTAGGACCGACTTAGTACAAATACAAGCCTCCACTGTGAAACCACTCTACAATATATAACTTACATAAAACACAATAGGAAATTAATAACAAAAAGTTTACCTTTTTTTTAGAATGGAGTTATAAGCTAATATCACACTATAAATCTTTCCATTCAATAATAGTAATTCCGGGGTGACAGTTTATACCAATTTTAGCATTTACCATATTATAATTTTCTAAGGTGAAAGTCATTCAAGAGCAAACGGCAATCGTGTGCTTAAGGAGATTCATATTTATTAAAATAACATAAAATAAGGATGCCTTCTTTTTGTGCACTTAGTTTCATTTTTCTAGATAATCGTTTTCAAAAAAATAATTGTTTTTATTATACATACTTGTTTATTTCTCATATCTATTTCAAAATACGTAACAGCGGCAAACCAGCATGAATTATTTAGTTACCATCAAGTCATGTGACAAAATTTTCCAACCATACAGACTACGTTTTACAATGACACACCCACGTAGCCTCTACGGAGCGTACAATGGCTAAAATGTCGTGAACATGACTTCGCGGATTGATATATAAATATGTAACGAAAACAAATACTGAATTTCCTATTTCAAATTCTATAAAATTAGAAAAACGTCCCTAGCTCAAGAACCTCTTGTCTAATTTTAATGACCTTTTGCCCAGCAATCGGCAAGGGTTCAAAGTGCAATATACTCCTAAATTGGTTGGGGTATTATGTATCGTTTAAGCTCTAGCTCTACAGCAAACATAGATACAATATTAGAGTTTTAGTATTATACATGGTGTCCATAAAGTTCGTGTGCACTTTAAAAACTTTCTAACTTTATTTGTATTTGCGATAGAAATAATTTGTAAAAAGGATTAGAAAGAAGTAAATCTATATTTTTTTAAGGTTTTATTGAAATTTTATTGAATTTTCCAAATGTCCTCCATCATTAGCAATACAAAGGTTAATGCGATTTTGCAGTTCATGGAAAACATTTGCCAACTGATCTACAATAATGCCTGAAATCACATTAGTTATTTTAGCTATACTTAAAACTTAAACTTTATACCATTTTTTACAGATTATTTCTATCGCAAATACAAATAAAGTGCGCACGAACTTTATGGACACCCTGTACAGATAATGAGAAAACGTAATTTATAGTATAAACTATATACTGTTCCTTATTGTATGATTTAAGAATACGATCTCAAATATAAATTGTAACTTTAAAATGTGTCAATGTTTATTCTAAGGTTTGTTCAGACTACTTATCGCATTCATTTTGGTTTTATTGTTACTGCGTTTCGGCCAATTCAGACTTCGGCCTTCTCCATATGTATAATTTCTAATAAAAAGGAAACGGTTTCTTTTTTTTCGAGAAATAGAAAAAAAACACAAACAAAAATGACAAATGTACTAATGTAACCAGTCCACTCTACTTATTCTCTCAGTATCCCGTGCAATATGGGCGAGTCCATATTTTAGATGTGGATTACTATCTGATCATTTCCAAAACAGCAACTGTGATTTGAAATTGGAATGAAAGCAGTGATCGCACCTACTCTGAAGCTATCATAAAAATTCAGGATGTGGAATTAGTAAATACTAAACACTTCAAATATCTCGGCGTATGGATCAGTTATAGCAACTTATAGTCTAGAAGAGGAAATTGAACATAGAATAAATTGCTTCAGAAGTAGTTTCTCCCAACACCGCAACTTGCTGCAAAACCAAAACATCAACCTGAAAATCATATTTTTAAATAGCCTTGTCAGATCAAGACTTTCATATAGATGTTAGACATGGTACGAAACCCATTCAGAAATATCTAAATTGTATACAACCGCTTTTTAAGATCATTGCTTGTGATGAAAACTCTTCAAATCCAGACTCTTCAGAATTGTAATTATCCCAATTCAAGGAAATCACACATAAAACTCTAAACCTGGAGTAGTTTTTCCCAATACCACATGATGCTACAAAATCAAAATATTCAGTTGAGAATTTGAGTCGATCTAGACTCTGTCATGATTCACCTCGTTCAAAAATATCTAAAGTGTCACCTATATACAAAAGTTTTCTCATATGAATGATTAAAAACGGCTTCGAGCGAATGAATCCTCTATGCCTTGAAGAAGACCACTATTCATCAGACTGACGCTATATAATCACAAAGATTTTAGAAAATATCAAAAGCATAACATTTGAAGACTTACAGCAGCAGCAACAACTAAAATGGATAGCACTTATATATAGAAGGTAAAGCAATAATATAATGAAGATGTTAACTTTCCACATTAACTTAAACAAAAGTTTAGGAAGAAATCTCACATACTTGAAGGATCAATAACAGTGAACCCGAGAAAACTATTTTCCTGAAAAAAAAAAAAAAAAACGTTTTAGGAGAAGGATTTTATAAATTTCAACCGACATTTTCTGCTATAATCTCTAAACTGGATCCCCACAAAGCATGTTGACTTGATTATATCCCCGCAATAATCCTTAAGGAATGTGCTCCTGAACTGGCTCTTGTTCTCTCTAAACTCTATAATAAATGCTTTGCTGCTTCTTGCTTTCCTCCGTGTTGAAAATCCTTTTCTATAGTTCCAGTCTTTAAGTACTCAGCGGAACCACCTGATCCTCCTATTGGCCTATTAGCCTTTTATTTCTTTTTGACAAAGTACTAGAGGCTCTAATCAACTCTGAATTTTTAATCATCCCATCTCACAGGGTCATCTTTCAGACAAGCAGTATGGCTTTCACTTCTCTAGGTAAACTGCTGATGTTTTAACGATTATTGCTGAAAGAGTCTATCAAGCTTTAGATAAGAATGATGAAGCTGTTGCTTTAGTTATCTCGAAGGCATAATGATATAATGAACATGTTGACATTCTATGCTACCTTAAACAAAAGGTTAGGAAGGAAACTCCCATCAGTACTAGGAAAAAGTGATGACAAGTGACTTGAGGAATCTGTTTTCTTGAAAAACTGTTTTAAGAAAAAAAAATGTTATAAATTTCAACAGACAGTTAGGCCAATAAATGCCGAAAGATTCCTGTATGGAAACGGCCAATTTTACCATTACCATTTTCTTATTCTATAACCGAAAAAAAGTTATTTGGGTAAATGGAACGAATTTTTGAGTATTTCCTGGCAGTAGAAATCTGCAAGACGTGAAAGAACTTTTATTTTAAACCCGATTACGTGAAAACTGACTTCAGAGAAATTAAATCTAGCACTGCACTCGGCTTTGGTGCCAATCCTATGGCTACTGATTTTCAACTGCAAAGAGAAATTCTCTTTCTTTGATAACTCTGGAGCTGATTTTTCCGACCAGACTATGATTTCTTGTGACACGCTCCTGAATTGTGTCGGAAATAATCCGAGATCAATAGAGAAAAGTCCAGAACATCTTTTGAAGTCAGGATGGTGGAATGGGCAGCGGAAGTACCAATGATGTCGGTACACGGATTCCGAAACTGAAGACGAGTATATTATTATTATCATTATTATTTTACTCATTGTGTTTTTACACCAGTTCTAACTGGTTTCTATCACTAGAGATCAAGGGACAGCAAGTCTCTTCATTATTCCAACGCTCTACTCAGCTAACTTTAATAATGCTGTTGTCTTCTACGAATTACTAAGTATTACAATCTCTTTACAAAACTGTTCACTGATTGTTACAAATGCTCTAATTAAGTACAACTGTCACAATAATTCAATAGTTTTTTTTCAATTCTCTGACAAAGTCTGCATATTTTTCAAGCTTTTCTCTTTCAAGATTACACAGCAGTCTGATTGGTTGATTGTTTTTGTTTAGCGAGATATCAACTCTTTGCAGGTTATTTAATGCCGAAATCTAGATATTTTGTACACAATTGTTTTGAGATAATAATGTTTTAGTGACACAAGTCTTACTAATTAATCCATAGAAGAGGTGAATTCATACCATTCCCAATGCACGTAGGTGAATATAACGAACCCAACTGGAATTGGAACTCGGCTATCCGATTAACAATTCCGAGACATGAGACATTACAGCACTTGGTATTCCCAAGCGGTCACCCATCTAAGTAGTGACCAGGCTCAACGTTGCTTAACTTCAGACAGAGCCGTAAGCCACATCAGTCTGGTGAAATAGCGGAAATCCATTGATCAATTTTCTTCTTCTAAGACTACATCTGATTTTCTGGCTGTTTCGTTTTAATTTCAAAATTCCCAGATAATTCTGTGTCATTTTTTATTCGCTAATAAAAATATTATTTAAATGCCAAAATGATTTGAATTTGCACAATTCGAAAGTGATCACCATTCCCACCCAGTCATGTCTATTTTTACTCCTTCTAAGACAAATTGCCATAATCACTTATTATATGATTGGTCGTCCTATTATTATTACTGTTATTGTCGTTACTGCCATTGATATTATTGTGAAGAGAGGAAAAACCAGAGACTTTATTGTAGTAGTAGTAATATTACCCGTGATATTTATTCATACTACAATCTTAGGAGTGCATTAAAAAATAACCGTAATATTTAAGTTTTTGATATTTTATAGGTATAATGTAATTGTAAATTTACAATACATTTATTTGTGTTAAAAATAATTTCAAGCTTAAATTATAGCGCTTTATTTGTCATGGATAAAATAAAGGAGAATTCTTTTTCTATTATGTCATCTTCAGATTTTCAGAAGTGGTTAGCTCTGAATTTTTCAGATCTCCAGAATTGACAAGTTCTTTGTAGTGGACTCTGAAGAATTCAATACACAAAGCCGGGCAATTCAATCATATATATGTAGTGGACTATTCCGGTGAGGTAGAAAAAGTTTCTCCACCGCCATCTTCCTAACAGATGTTGACGATTATTACTCGAGATGAAATTCCAACAAGTCCTCAAATTATCCTCATGAACATTGGCTGACCACAACAATGTCGTGCCTTGCATTGTCTCAATTCGTTCCTGGATCTCCAAATGTTCCAGTCTCTTTGCAAAGATCTTTGATACTTTTTCCTAGAGCGCGACCATATTGTTATATTTATTATTAGTATTAGTAGCAGTAGCAGTAGTAGTAGTAGTAGTAGTAATGTGACAAGTCTCTTACTGCTCTCTCGCTACCTTCATGGAAAGTACTCGGAAGAACAACATTCCTTGCTTCCGCCAGGCCTAAACTTCACGGCTAGAATCCGCCATGCCACTTACATAGTATCAAACTACCCACATTCCCTCCGTATTCCATCACAAACACCTTCTTCCAGTGAACCACTGCCCTGTGGAACAGACTCCCAAAAAAATGTTTCCCCGATCATTACAATCTTAACCTGTTCAAGTCTAGTGTTAATCGTTATCTTCCCCTCCTATCCATATAAACTACCCCTTAACGTAACCCTCTACCTTGGGTGGCCCCCGAGCCTTGTACAGGGTGAACCTTACTGTAAGGAAAAGTAAATAAAAAATAAAGAGAGTAAAAATGTACAGATGACAATTGTTGTTGTAGCAGCCCCAAAAAGAGACAATTCAAAAATGCTGGACTTTCGAAGGTAATTGAAGCTGCCCCGCCCCCTGTTTCTCTGTCTATTACTTCTGTCACAATAAAGCAGATATATAAAATAAACGAGTGAGTTTCGTTGTGAATTGAACGCGTAACTTAGAGGTAAAGTAGACAAATAACATATCCACCATGCCAATGTTTTATTGGATTAACAGCCAGCTAAAATTAACTTACAAAATCTAAGATAGAGTGCACAGATATTAAATTGATTAGGAAAAAATATTTTGGTTCGAGAGCGCACTGATCTAAGACAGAAATGATGATCCAGACGTAAATAATTCCATCATTTTTGACGGGTTATATGCCAGCATATTAAAAATATCTAATCTTAGAATTACTGAAAAGGAAAAAAAAACGTTCAGCTGGTTGTTGTCTGATTCAATCAATTTTTTTTCTTCTTTCACCTATTTTAATAGCTTCAAAATTTTACTTCGTTTTTTTAAGAAGAATCCGTTCTTCAAAATATCTTCCTCTTCCTCTTCTTCTTCCTCTTCTTCTTCCTCTTCCTATTCCTCTTCTTCTTCCTCATCCTCTTTCTGCCCGACCTCCATTCAGACTTTAAGCTTCTATTTGCTCCTTTCTTACACTTTCTCACAGATTCTCGCTCTCTTTCTCTCTCATTTATTTTCCATGCCTCCTCTTAACTCTCTTTTCCTTTTCCTACCTTTGCAAACCACTACCACCAATTAACCCTCTCTCTGCTTACTTCTCGTTCTATCTCCTTGTTTCTTTTTCCCTCTCTCTCTTTTCTCTCCTTTTGCAATTTCTCCTTCTCATTTTTCTCCCGTTTATCTCATCTTCTTTTGCTTTACTTTCTTGCCTTTTCTTACTTCTCTCTCACTCTCAATCTATCTATCTATCTATTTTCCTTCTTTTCTCTTTCTTACGATACCTCTCTTTTTTATTCTATTACATTCCTTTCTCTCTTTCTACTCGCCGTTTTCGTTGCTTCCATTTTTTCTCTATTTTCTATTTTTCTCTCTTTTACATTTCTTTGTTGTCTCTCCCCCTCTTCCTATTATCTCCTTCCAATTTTATTTCTCTCTCTCCCCCATTTCACTTTTTTCTCTATCCCTGATTCTCTCTCTAATCCTTTTTCCTCTATTTTTTTCTTTTTTTGTTTGAACTCCTAGTTATCAATTTTCTTATCTCTCTCACTAACCTTATCTCTGTAAGCCTTCTTTTGTTTTTATGTCTTTCCCTTTCTCTTTCTTTTTCACTATCTACCTCTCTTTCTCTCTCTAACACTGAAGCTTTCGTCTCTCTCTCTATTCTTTATGGAAACATTTTTTCTTTATCTCTTTTCTATCTCTACGTTTTGGCTAGACACATTTCTCCCACTATCTATCTATCTATCTATCTATCTATCTATCTATCTATCTATCTCTCCCACTATATCTAATTTCTCTTAGTTTTCTTTTTCTCTCCTTCTCTATCATTTTATGTCTTTTTTCTTTAATCATCTTTCCATTTCTCTTTTTCGCTCTCGCTCTCTCTCTCTCTCTCTCTCTCTCTCACACACTACTCCCTCTGTAACCTTCTCTTTCCATCTCACTGTTTATTGTTCAGTCTTCTTCTCCCACTCTTCTATTCTCTAGCCTTCTGTCTCTTTCTTTTTCATGTTTTCTTCCTCCTCTTTTCTCTCACTTATTTTCCCTCTCTTTCTTCCTTCACTTCTTCTGTCTTGTCTTTTTATTTCAACTTCTTCTAGGTCTTTCTCTCACTTCCTTCCCCCCTCTCTACCTTCACCCACCCCAGTCTTTCGATTTTTTCTTCTCTTATTTCCTCCTTTTCTCCCCACCCACACCCCCGCCCCACTCACTGTCTCATCGATTCTAGCCATTATTTTTCTTATTTATTTTTGGACTTTGAATCTTTTCAAATAATTTGAAAGATCAAGAGTTTTCGTTTTACCAATCTATTTTTAAAAAATGGAATTTATTTTCTTCAAACGATTTCTTCCCTCATCTTTTCTAGTCTTTAAATACACCTCTCTCTCTCTCTCTCTCTCTCTCTCTCACTTTCTCTCTTTCTCCCTCTCTCTCTCTTTGTATATATCTCTCTCACTCTTCTCCATATCTTTTTTTATTATATAAAATATATATAAACACAGACACGCATATATATAAATGTGTGTGTGTGTGTGTATATATATATATATATATATATATATATAAACCTAAAAGGGCCAGGCAATCTACCTAAAGTTTCACCTAAACGGATCCTCATGGCCGTCATCGCCCTGACGATCCGTTTAGGTGAAACCTTTAGGTTGCCTTGGCTCTTTAGGTTTATATTAGGATTGCTCTTCACTTCGTGTATTGAGCACTTTACGTAGTTGCATTTACTCGTTTTGGAGTTTTTTTTTTCTTTAGACTCTGAGCTTGAACTCTGGACGATTGTTTTCGCCTCAAATTCATGTTCTTAGTTCTTTTACTTTTTTTATTCCTCATTTTTCCTTGAGTACTAGTTTGTTCTCCCAAGCCTATATACCTAATATTTTTCCAAGCAGAGTACCACCATTTATTTATATATATATATATATATATATATATATATATATATATATATATATATATATATATATATATATATTAATTTTAATTAATTTTATTTAATTTTTCTTGTGTTCTTATAATCTTTTCTTTTATGCACTAAGGTAGGCTTTCCTATCGCCCGGTCAATACTCCTCCCCCTTCTCTTGAACAACCGCAGACGCTCACCCCTTGTTTCTTGTTTAGGAAGAGGTTCCCGGTACGTTTCCTCTCCTTCTCTCTGGCCTCCGTAGTAGTACTGTCGTGATTCTCTTGTGATGCGTGCACTCTGTGGCAACGCCCTTTCAATCTGAGGGTACGGGGCTGACAGTTTTCTGGTTGCTGTTCCCGACTGGTAGTTAGGGGCCTTAACTCTTGCGTAGCGTCTTGAGCGGCTGCTCTGATCAACAGTTGTATAATATCGGGGTGCCTGTAGTGCCATGTCGCGCATGGAAGGGTGTCCCTGCACGCACCTCCGGTGGGCAACCCTAAGGCCACATGATGTTGCAGGCTGCGTCAGCTCCTTTCTGCCCATGTCACATACGATGACCGTCTGCTACTTCTACTTCAGGCCTTCTCTTTTTCACTGCCAATATTACCCGACATGACAATAAACAATCAAAAAAGTAAACCTAAACAAGCTCTAAAAAAATCACCTAAACCCTTTAATATTTCCTTTTCTAACATCCGTGACATTCGAACCAACTTCTGCAGTGTGGAATCGTTCCTCATTGAGAAGTCTTCTGATATACTGGCTCTCTGCGAGACCAACCTCAACTCATTTATCCCCTCTTCTGACTTCTCGATCTCCGGTTACCTTCCTCTCCTTAGAAAAAACTCTCAAACCCACATGCATTGTCTGAGAGTTTTTGTCAAGGACTATCTCCCACTGGCTAGGAAGCTCTCTCTCTCTCTCTCTCTCTCTCTCTCTCTCTCTCTCTCTCTCTCTCTCATCTTCAAACCATTTATACATGTGTCTCCGCCTATCTCTCTTCAATTCTGTAAACTACCTCTTCTTCCGCTATCGCTCTCCATCCTCCCAAGACTGTGGTGTACTCGATAGCAGTTCCTTCAATATAGACAAGTCTCTCTACATCCGTTTGCACATATTTTCGTTTTTGGTGACTTTAACGTCCACCATGCCAAGTGGCTTAAAAACTCTATAACTGACCTTGCTGGCATACAAACTCACTTTTCAATTACTCAATCCCTCACACAAATGGTTGACTTTCCTACACGCTTCCCCAATAACCAGGACCGTAAAGCTTCCCTTCTTGATCTCTATTTCACCTCCATCCTCGAGTCTTGTCATGTCACGCAGCCCTGCCCTCTTGGCAATTCTGATCATGCTGTAATGTTTGTCAACATTTCCTTCTACTCCACCCCGAGCAAAGAACCTCCTACCAACAGGACATCTTTATGTTATCAACGAGCATGTCCCTTAGAATGTGGTCTTTAATCTCCCCATTCAAAAATGCGCTTCTGGTGTCTCCTCCTGGGTAAAAGCTGGAATCAAGACTTTCATCCTCGCAAGGAAATATAAGGTTAAATCGCGTTCATCTCCTTTGTTCTCTGCTGCTTGCTCGGCTGCCATAGCACATAGGAATCACTTCTTCCGCCTGTACCGTAGTGACATGTCAGATTGCAACAGACGTCTCTTTGTCTCGGCCCGTAATGAGTGCAAACGTGTCCTCAATGAAGCAAAGTCACTATTTGCTGAAAGAAACGACGTATTGCATCTCGCAAATTCGGTTACAAAGATCATTGACGTCTCTGCAAGAGCGCACTAAACAACAGAAAACCCATAATACCTCCTTTGTTCAACCAATTTGAGGTTCCTGACTGCCTCAGCTGGTAAGGCTGAATGCTTTGCTCGGAAATTCTCATCCAATTCAACGCTCGACTAATCCGGTGTACCCACACCCGATTTCCCCCTAGAACAAAGGCTCTATTGAGCGACTTGCACATAACCTCATCGATGGTAATGGGCATCGTCTCTAAATTAGACTCCCATAAGGCTAGCGGTGGGGACGGGATACCAGCCGTGGTCCTGAAGAAATGTGCTCCTGAACTGGTTCCTGCCTTCTCCAAACTATATAACTACTGCATCAACGACTCTTGCTTTCCAACCTGTTGGAAGTCCTCATCTTTTGTATCTGTCTTTAAGAACTCTGGAGACCCTTCTGACCCATCTAACTACCGTCCTATCAGTCTCCTACCCCTCTTCGGTAAAGTCTTTGAAGCTTTAATCAACGCCGAAGTGGTTAAGCTCCTTATATCCCATGATCTGCTCTCTGACAAGCAATAGGATTTCCGCTCTGCTCGAGCAACCGCTGATGTGCTCACTGAATTTGTTTACCAAGTACTTCACAATAACGGAGAAGCTCGTGCTGTGGCTCTAGATATCTCTAAAGCATTTGATAGGGTTTGGCATGCCGGCCTTCTTCGTAGGCTTCAGGGATACACAATTTCAGGACGATTATTTGACTTAATACAATCATTCCTGTCAAACCGTGTAACGGATTCTCCTCCAGTTCCTTTCTCACGAACGTAGGTGTTCCCCACGGCTTTATCCTGGGCCCTACGCTGTTTCTGATCTTCATTAATGATCTTCCCGACGTCATCAATTCCCAAGCAGGCATCTATGCAGACGACAGTTTCTATTTACTCCTGCCTCTGTAGCAAATCCAACATCGCTAGCAAAACTAACCTGGCTGTTGATCTCGAAAAGGACCCCCAATCAGTTGTTGACTGAGGCAAGAAATGGCTGGTTAACTTTAATGCTACAAAAACAAAACTGCTCTCTTTTACCCACCACAGAGAACCCTACTGCCTCCGATTAGAATGTCTGATTCTCAAATCCAAGAGAGCACTTCGCTACGACTGCTTAGACTCACACTCTCCGCTGACTTGTGACGGAACAAATACATAGAATCAATAGCTTCATCTACTGCAAGGAAAGTTGGTTCTCTATTTCGCGCCAGAAAGTTTTTCTCGCCCAAGTCTATCCTTCAAATCTATAAATTCACCCTTGCATTGAATACTGCTGCCATATATGGTCTGGTGCCCCCGCTGTTCGTCTTAAGGTCCTCGACAAAATCCAGAGACGGATATGCAATGTGGTTGGCCCTGATCTGGCATCTCGTTTACAGTCGC